AACTGATTTTGTAGGAGTCTTGAGTGAAATAAAAACCCAAAAAATAAATTTGGATTAGCTACTGGAAGGAGAGGCATTTCAAGAAAAAAAAGATTGTATGTGGCTGTAGTGAGCTTTTGAGGGTGCAAACTAAACTGTTGTGACAATTGATTTCCTTTGTCTTCACACTTATTTTGTTTAAAAAACATGAATTTCAAATTATTAAGTTACAAATTCCATAACTATAGTGAAACGTTTTTTTGCTATATCAAGGATATCAATGTATGATTTTTTGTTACATCATTGATGTGCCAGGGAATGAGCATAAATAGTTGTGCCAGTGACACGTCATATTGGCTTAGAGTCACATTGCTGAGAGTTCAAGTAGTCAAAATGAAAAAATAATTTGTCTCATTTATGTAAGCTCAACTAATAGATCAAATACAACATATAGCTACAACTATAATTCTAAATTAGCTGGACGGAGAATCTGTAAAACACATAAAGTAGTATGATGCTAGTAAATCAAGCCTTTCATCTGGACAGTAGTAATTGTCTCCTTCAAATTTTAATTCAATTGATACAATATTACCTAATTTACTTTCCGAATACAATTTTGTGATTAGATTTATTTTTATTTATTCCTTACACAATGTTTTTATCAAACCTCAATCTATATGAATTGATTTCACTTGATGTAAATATGATTGTACTTGCAGCCACAGTTCATCAATTTGGCTCATATATGGAGTGGATTCCAAGATGAGATGGTTCTTCTTAGTGTACTTAGTAATATCCTGGCTAGTCTGGAACCATTCACTAAGGTATGATACTCATATACTTCTTCATCTTCACTGTAGTTGGCAAACTTCACTTTGTAATACATTTACTGTAATGACTGAAATTGTTATTTTATCCAATTTCGTACGTTGCTTGAATCAGCAGAATCATAATTGCTTAAAATCAATTTCCACTATGATAATATACATTTCTCTTAATTATGATAACTAAAAGTGTACTAGATAAATAGTGAAGAAGATATTATTTCTTTAAAATGATTTATTGATCATTGTTCTTATTTAATAATATTCCATAATTTTATATTTGTTATTGCAGGGACATCGTGATGTGTTCACTGATGAAATGCTGTCACCATTTATGGAGAATGTCTATGTTAAAACTGATGAAACTAGAATTAGAGAGGTAAAATTTATTCCATTGGATTGCAGCATTCCTGCTAAACCTAATATTTGTACTCAACTTTCTTGGTGACAATCTGAGCCACCCGTCCCTTAATATTGTATACTTAGAAGTAGAAACTCAATTCATTTGTCAAATTCTTTGAGAAAATAATAAAATTGCATTGTGCCAAATTTGTTTTAGGTGTCACACTGAGGTGTAAGTTTGCCAAACCACATAGTAGGTAGTGCCTAGTGTTTTTTTTCATGACAGCAAGTTTGAGGTGAGCTTTATTCTGGCCTTGTATCTGAATAACATGTGACTCCCAAACAACTTTTTTTCAGACAAGTGGAGGCGATAACAGAGTTAAACCATCAGACATGAAACATCTTGACTGGTTGTTTCCAGAAACGACAAAGAACTTTGAGAGATTACCATTACAGTATAGGGTGAGTGATTAATCACAATACATTCATATTGTATCAAAATCTCCAGTGGTAGTAATTTTTAATAGGCCTTTTGTATGACCCCTAAAGGTCACTCATCCTGGCACTGTCTGCCCCTAAAGGTCATACATCCTGGCTCTGTCTGACCCCTAAAGGTCACTCATCCTGGCACTGTCTGCCTCCCAAAGGTCATACATCCTGACAGTTTCCGGGTGTATTGAGGGGTCATGCATAAGGCCAATATACATTTATATAATAATTTTTCAATATACATGGATACTGTTTTTTTTTCAAGAAATAAGTTGTTCAAACATTTCACAAGAATCTTTTAAATAGGAAGTTGGAAATTTCTTTTTCTGTATTTAATTTTTTCTTTACATGTATGAACTACCTTTAATCATCAAAATACCATTCTCGTAGTCCCAGTGTGGCCCACTGAATTTCATACAGTTTATCATGTTTCCATTCATATTCTATGATATCACTGTGCATGTATATTATATTATATTATATAAATTTTCTCTTTTCCTAGGGCTACTGTGGATGGGCATTGGTGAAGTATGATCGTTTATTGTTGCCTGGCAACCCAGATATAGGAGTTCTACGTTACAAAGATCGATATTATGCATTCTCACAAAAAGAAGCGGCTTATGAATTTGCAAGTGATCCAGACAGGTGAGTGGACAACTTGTCTCATAGGCTTTGGTTATAATACTGTTATCACAAAGATTAAAATACTGGTCTTATAACCAGAAAGGTGTGGAAGAACTATGAGGAAAATAAACACTTTTCTAGCAAACTTTGTAAACTCTCAGAGACCTTTGTTTTTTAATGTTAATTCTTATTGTGACTGAATTTTCCTTGTTAGGTTTATTACATTGGTAGCTGAGGGAGCGAAAAAATCACCAGAGTTGATTCAACTGTTGGAATTACACACTCAGTTTGCCACTATTACTCCTTATTCACAGGTTGGTTTGATTTCATTTCAAAACTTATGCAAATCATGCATCCCCCATGGTATGCAAGTTATGATGCTATAATTTAATACTTGCATAAAATTTCACAATAGCAGTTTGTACATGCAATCACATATTCTGTATGAAGTTGTGTAGCTCTGTAGTAGTGAAATGCAAATCTATTAACACAAAGACTTTTTCAACAGTTACGTTTACTGCCATAACTATATAACGTAATAATAACAACCTTTATTGATATCGTATCCCCTCTGGGATCTAGATCAGAATACAATAAGGATATAAGGAACAATAATATATATTTATACATTTTTATTTTCTTCTTTCAATATTCTTAGGGTCGTGATCAAGGTAAGATGATTGAGAAACCGATTACCAAATGTGATATGGGTGTG